TCATCCGTTTTTCTTGTCTTTTCTTTCAATCCTGCGTTTCTCTTGTTTCGCACATTTGCGCATGTCTGACGTGCATGTTCAACCACACCAAGCCCTCTGTGCCCCTTTCCGTTGTGTCCTGAGGTCATGACCGACACAGGGCTTCCCGGCAATGATTGGAAAACGTTTTTTAAAATGCTGTACAGGTCGATTGGGCTCCAGCTCCCCTCAGAAACCGCTGACGTGAGTCCCTCACCCATGAGAAAAATGCAGCATGTATGTCAGGGCATCTTACAGCCCTCTGGCTTCCATGCATGCATGTGCATTCCTGTGGGAGTATCAGAGCGTAACCACGCATGTCGTTAAATATACGTACGCATTTACCTGCGTGCCAGACAACGGTAACCGTTTCATTTGCACGAACCCTGTGCTGCAAGTACGCTTCAGGTCACATTTGTCTGAAGAGAACCTTGCAGTCACGTGAAAAAGCCTTCTTCGTGCAAAACAACAGACCATGTGCCCTCCCTCGTCGGTTTGGGCCGGTCTGAACGGTCCCCAAGGACCAGAGCATCGCGGACAAGTCAAGCGAGCTCGGCTTGCCCACACACCCTGCACCCTTGCGGTGCATGGCCTCCCAGAATAGTCTTTGGCCTGATCAGTCTGGGGAGCCGATCAGTGACATGATTCCTGTTGAGTGCACAGAGTGAACCCCTTGCGGTCAGCTCTTGCCTCCCTCACTATCCCCGGTGAACCTCACTCCCAGGGCATTGCAAACCTGAAAACTTTTCAGGAGTGTTTTCACTTTTGTTTCTTTCATTTTTTCTTTTCCTCACCATCAGCAATGGTGGCTTGCGCGGGCCATCACATGCAGTTGGTATCGTGCATGCGGTCAACACCCGTCGTGAGCCAAGTACATAGGTCACCCAGTGGAACGGCGCTCATTATGTGGCTTCATCGAACAGTTCGGTGTTGCAGCCGGGGAGCGGATGGCACCCACCGTGTCGCATCACAAAGGTATGGCGTGACATCAGAGCACCCCGATGTGTACAGCTGCTCAGCCAGTCGTCTCGGTCATCAGCGGATATCCGTCCTGCGATAGCCATGACAAGAAGTGACTGCTGGTGATGGCGTTCAAATCCGGTACATTGACTTGCGCCACCAGTAGTGCGCGGCCCACTTTTTTTCGTTGTCTCGCGGCGCAACCACGCTCGCATACGGTCCGGAAGGCACACGTAACGGCGACGCGGCCTTCTGCGTACCAGTACGAGAATGCAAAGATGGTGCCTACGTTCTGGTACAGTTCCTGTCCGCATCCCCAACGGCAACCTCAACGAGGCGTGCACTCCTGGGCGTCCCAGCCGCGATCGGCAGCCTCGCGCCTGGCGCAACCAGGAGAGGGAGATGGAGGTGAGGGCGTGTGGCCAGCGCAGCCGCTGGATGGCCATGGATTGCATTGCAGGAGTGTTGGCCGGGGTGGTGTCCTGGAAGGGGGGAGGGAGGTGGGTGATGATTTTTATCGTTGCGACGTCGCGCTTGGCGGGTGATCTGTGAAGACCACTCGGGTAGGTGAACTTCTCGGTTGAGAGCTGCTGGCTTAGGGCAGATGGGCCCAGCATTTGCGCAGCAACGGCTCTCAGTGGGGACCAATGGGACCATGCCCCTTGGGTGTTGGTGAGAGAACTGAGTAAGAGGGGGTTCCGAGGCGCTGTTCTGGCGGTTCAAGCGCTGGGATCCATCGGAGGCGCGTTTAGAGCACGGACTGCCGGGCGGCTGGGTGTTTGGGACGCAGAGGCTGACAACGGCTGAATTCCACTCTGATTTGATTTGTTCTGAGGGCAATGCCTGCATAGAGTTGTCAGAATAGCCAAGAAAAAGGCTTTTTTGTCACGGCTATTCTGACACTGTAGTCCACGTAAATTACGGACAAAGTTATGCCCTTGTGTCTGCGGGGGAATCATGAGAATTGCACCTGAGAGTGAGAGTGGTTGTCTTTGGGCTCGTGCGCAGGCAGTGCAAAATGGTACAACAGACTCCGAGTGCCGCAGGCTCGGTGGTATCCCTGTGGGAGGCTGGATGGCGCTGATGGGTGTCGTTGGAATGGTTGTGGGGGCCGTCTTTGGTGCTGCTGGAGCCCTGTGGTTTGTCCAGAGGAAGGGAAGACAGAATCAGAGGGTAAGAACCCAACTGTTGCCAAACAGAGACACAGCGGATGGTACAATAGACACTCCCATTTGAAGAACATGTTCCGAGGCTGTATCCAAAGCGGAGAGTGGCGTTTGGATGGCTTTGAGTGCCTTGAGTGGAGCAGGAGCCGTGCCAAGCAACAAAGAACACTGAACACAGTGCACTGATTCAACACGAGCTATGCACATTGGTTGGGTGAGGCCCTTTGGAGCAGTTAAGCTCCTGAGGGAAGTGCCAGGTTTTGTCAACCACATTGACAATACGTGTTTAGGGCAGCCAACAAAGTCAGGGAAGTGTTGGGCATTGTTTCCCTACATCGCTGCAAAGCCAGAAAATGGTGGCCTGCCTTCCAGATGGGGCCTGCCTTAATGCTCTCTAGGCCATCTTCTGCGAATTCTGTACAATACAATGATAATAGACGTGCTGTAGGGCACAGATATCTGTATGTTAATCTGTATCCAGTCAGTCACTCTCAGTGCTCTCCGCACAACAGGGCTCCCCAATGCGCATGTGCCGAATGTCAATATGTAGACCTAGGTCATGCTTCTGATCCCAGTTCTGACAGATTGCTGGCTTTTGCTGCAGCACTTTGCAAACCGAAAAGATGGTGATGTGCCCCAAAGGGCTTTGGCATCTCCTCGGGGAGCCTCGGTCGTGTCTCCCAGGGATGACCCCAGTGCCTACGCACCGATGGGCAAATACAAACAGCACCTGGCAAACAGTGCAGAGTTCTCTAGCTATGGCACCATGAAATTCGTTACCGGGACAGGCAATGCCAGTCCAAAATCTTTGCACACGCCGTGCTCTGCGGAATTACAAACGCCCAGCCAACACCACTCGCTGGGGTCATGGCGCCACCACAGTCACAGCGATGGACGATCTTCAGACATTGAGCTGATGGGTCAGGACTTCTCTGGGGGAAATAGGAGCAATGGCAATGGGAGGTCAGAAGAGGGTCACCGCCAAGGAATGGAGGTTTGGCCACGATGGCAAACCCCCAGGGTGGCATCGAGCCCACACGAGGATGGGGAGAAGCACAGGCACAGGCCAAACGGCCGCGGTACAGCTGAGCGCACAGAGGCATCATCGGGGCGGTTGGATGCACCGGCGGTTGTCGCCGATGCTCCTGCCTCAAGGAGGTCTGCGGCGGGGCCTGTGAAACTAGAGAGGCAGTACGAGCTGGAGGAGCTGGAGCCTCAGTGGCATGTGAGCCTTGCACCCTGGAGTGTTGGTTTGGTATACAGTGCCTTGGTGCAAGCTTGTGCAGCACTTGAATGTGACCGGTTGCTTGGCCCTTGCAACCCTGCCTTGGCTGTAATTTCCTGATTTTCAGGCTGTGATACTGCACTATCTTTGCGCCTCTTGGGCGATTTTAGAGATGTGACAGTGTCCCCTCTGAGCCGCATATGCAGGGTAAGTGGATGTCAGAGGTGATAGATGCTCGGCACGGCAAAGACCGTGCCATTGTGTCAGCTTGTCATACAAGTTTGATGTCTGTAAGCTGGTTAAGATATCCAATTTCAGGTACCAGGTGTTGGTGCATTGTGGGCCACAGGGATGCCATCTATGCGTCAGAGATGTGGCTGGCAACATTTGTGCACTCGCATCCCTTCAGCCATGCTCTTGTACACTTGAGACTCTTAACACTCCATCTGGCAAGATGCTGGATGTCATTCAGTGCCATGGGAGAGCCACTATGCCAGCCACTATTCTCTCCTCCGATTTTTTTATCTGTGCTCTCCCAGAAATTGAATGTTTTATGGCTGTTGGAGCTGTTGTTTGGAGCTGTTATTTGTTGGCGCTGTTTTTTTCTTTTGCCATCCGTTAGCTTCAAACAACGTTTTGGCTGTGTAGGGCATCTTGTCCACTGTGGACAACAAGCTGGCGGAGCAAGGCCTGCCACGCCAACGAGCCGATGAACGGCCGATCGTGATGCAGTCCCTGTTGAAGTCATCTCCACAAGGGGGCGCGGAGGCTGCAATCAATGATGCAATTTCATGTCTCTTGCATCACAGGGTTGAGGTGGTGCAGTTGAGCCAGGTGACCTCCACTGATAGGGACAGAAGAGAGGGTGATGGAAGGGCAGCTGGATGACCAGAGCTGTGCCTAACGTTGGCATTGACGGGTGTGGCTCCTGAACAGTACAGCTGAATGGAAAACAAGAACAGCCTGTGAAAATAGATTTTCTCGCTGAAAAAGCCTGTGGGATTTATTTTTATTGCTTGTAAGAACACGAATTCATGAGCAATACGGGGAACATGGCACCCTTGCTGGTTGTCAAATTCTGCACCAACCCTTTCACATCAGAGTCCACAGGAAAACAGTCTGATATCACACCATAGACGTCCTTGGTTTAGTGAGGCACATCCTGTCCCATGTTGTGGATGTGGCTGTGGATATGTGTATGCAGGATATGGCAACCCACATCTGGGGAGTGGTATGAATTGTACTCTGTTTCCTGCCTGATCCTGGATGTGCACGTCCAATATCCTTTCCGTATAACATGCAGGCAAGGATTGTTGCTGACATTCGCTGTGAATGCCACATTTCAAGAAAATATATCTCTAACATCTATTGCTGTAGAAAGAGGCCAGCAGCACTGAACGATATTATTCAAGCACATCCACACCTATGTGGAAGCGCGCCTGACAGGTTTTGGAACGATCGGAGCTTTAGAGGCTCTAAAAGCTAGGAATCCAGACTAGAATCTAGCAAGAACTGCTGACAGAATCTGGCTATGTACGCCAATTCTGCGATGCACAAAACACAAGAACTGTTTAACACCATCTACTGCGGTTCCATTTCTGTGCACCTTGGCTAGGCAGACCATTGCAAGGCACTTGACAGCCATCAATGGCTGGCATTTGTCTGTGCGCGGCCCAACCAAAGGTCCACTAGCCTAACATATACCCGGCAGACATTGCCCCTGCTCTGGCTGGGGTGAGGATGCTGTTCTAGAGCACAGTAGGGAACAGAAGGCTACCTCCTTGCCTTGAAACGTGGTATTTCTTGATTGTTGGGGAAGCGATGATGGGCTCGATGCCATACACATGATCTGTCCGAATATGCCTACTCTTAACCAAACTATCCGCTGGCAATCAAACAGCACAGCATACTGTTCAAGGACCTCCAACGCTCATGTGATCATCCCAATGTTCCAAATTCCATTCCAGACAATGAAAGCGCACAGAGGGTCACTATCAGCGCGCTCTGCACGGGACCGTCTTCAAGCACATCCGGATCGCCCCACGGGGTGCATCAACCAAGAAAGCCGTCCGTGGTGACCAGTCGCCCACTCCGTCAACTGAAAGGCCAGCTCGCCAAGGAGGGCCAAACACACCCAACTGTGGTTTTGATGGCGGTTAGACCCGCGAGGTTCGGACCCAATCGAGGCGATCGCGTCGAAGCGGACTCGACGTCACGCATCCGCCCAACCCACCTTGCACAGACTCCTCCAGTGCAGCATCCCGGAGGCGATCACCAGCGGCAGCGGTTGGGGTCGACTCCCGCAGCCCCCACAGACTGGAAAACTCCAGTCAGCAGGTCGCCAACGGCCTGCGGGCGTTTTGCAAATCGCCCCAGAATCAATGTCTGCGATTGCGAATGCGGGATGCAAATTTCGGATTCCATTGGTCATGGCCGGTTTCGACCCCCGAGTGCCGGGAGGCACGAAGGGAGACCCGCAGAGGGCTTTCTGCATCTCACCTGGAGGGCGTTGGTTTGGCGCCTGCGGCCTGTGCCCGTGGCTGCCAACACTGTGGACAGACCTCCGTGCCGTCGTAGAAGTACCGTAGGTAGTCCGCGAAGAAGCAGACCGCGTTGAAGTAGCTGCATATGCACCGCTTCGCAGTCTACGACACCCCACAACCGGTCAGACACGGTCGGGACGAGCGGAGGGTGCGCCAGTTGCATCGGAAGAATCCGATGCACTTGCAGGCCCGCATCGAGACACTCGCTCGCACAGCAACGCGCTGCGTCCTTGTCCCGGCCCGTTGCGGCCGTCGCGGCGTCGGCGCTCCGTTGCTGCTGCCCGGCGGAGCTCCTGTTGAGCACCTTCGCTTGCGCGCTGTGCTACGTTTTAAGCCGTGAAGGCAACGCCCCCCCCCTCCTCCGAAGTGCGCACTAAGTGTCGATGGTCGATGTCGACTCGACCGAGAGCGTGTGACTCACGTCCTGAGTGGAGAGCAGTCGACGCAAGAGTGTGACCCGCATCTAGAGAAAGAATGTGATTCATCTGAGCCTCGACACAGCGCCATCCACTTTGCATCTGGGAACAGTCCTGCGGCCAGTGATGGCCCCTTGCATGTACATGTGCGTACAAGCACGTATATGTACAACAGGGAAGAGTGCGGCACGGCACATGTGCTGTGTCACACTTCGTCTCCGGGAGGGAATTGCGCGGCCAAAAACATTATTGCGGGGCGCATCAGTACGTCAGACGTACTAATGCGCCCCGCGATGGTATTTTTGGTGACCAATTTGGTCACGAGCGACCAGGCACCCGCAGACCCTCAGGGTGCCTGAGCCTCTGAGCTCAGTCTGAGCCAGGCCCTTTCGGGAAAACATGTTGCCCTAGCAAATGCTGTAAAGTACTGAGCCTTATGCCAGCTTTCCCAAAGTGGCTACAATAGATTATCCATTGGACATTCCTGTACCCTTGGGAATTGCTGGTGATACACTCAGCATTCTGCTTGTTAGCGCCAGCAAACATTACTGCCAACGGCCGGCATGCACTCTCGTTGTGTGCACTCTGTGGAGCCATGCAGCTGTTACCAGGCTTGGTTTTCACGCCGTAAAAACTGATCGTATTTACGTTTTTACGCGTAAAAATGCGTAAAAATACGTAAATACAACGTAAAAACTGCCCGGTGTACATAAGGACAGTACATGCAGACTTACGGAATCCAGAGAGTGGCAGCCAGACGCCCTGAGAGGGGCAGAAAACGAGTTTTTGTCAAACACCATCATCGCCCTTGCCAAAGGCGAGGTGGACACTGTGTTATGGGTTCTGGATATGGCGGAGGACTGATCATTGTACCCAACTTTCATCGCGTAATCTGGGTGTCCCAGGGAGCCGTAAAAACGTAAAAATAGCCGTAAAAATAGGCCATTTTGCAAATTTACGTTTTTACGCGTAAAAACGTAAAAGTAAAAACGTAAACGTAAACGTAAAAACCAAGCCTGGCTGTTACACACTTTACAATATTAATCCATTACCACACTGTAATGCCGTACAATGTGTAACAGTTGTATGGCTTCACGGAGTGCACATGACAAACCAGACCACGTTTCAGTATCATGGAACAGAACAATTGTGGGGTTCCGTTATAACGAAGCGCGGTTTGGTTCACACCATTTAAAGGTGCACAACACTGCAAGATTTGCACACGTGTCAATCAGCCTTTTTCCTGACGCTTTGGTCGTCACTCCCTTGCATTGGGAATGAGTTCCCTTGCTGACGCTAACCCGAGCTCAAAAAGTTGCGGGATGGCGATCAGCAAAGGTGTTAATAAAAGCAGCATTTGGAGCGGCGGGGCACGCAGTTTGTCGAGTCGTGATAATGTTGCCGCAAGTGTTTCGCTGACAAAAGTACGTTCTGTTTCTTTTCAAGGGTTTTCGGTAGATGAATGCCTTGATTGTTCAGGGATGCACTGCATCCGATGCGGTGGGGCCGCCAGAGTCCTAGCTGCAATACTTTCCTGTGTGCTAAATTACTAATGGCTGATTTTTGTTCTGCATGCGACTCGTAATTCACCCGGGCTCTTTAGCATGGTCCCTTTTGAACGAGTTTGTCTCATTAGTAAATGAAAGGTTTGTTCCAGTCCATTAAACGGGGTAGTGCAGACCCTCGGCGATCAGTCAAGGAATACTACAAAAATGCTGGATACCAAGTAGGAGCCTTCCTCTAGGACCAAATGCGATCGTGAAATTGCGCGCCAGGGCTACTGGAGTAGATCCAGCTGCTGGACCGACTGGTGTGATGGGGCGGCATTAATCGCCCCACTTGAGAGCACCGAATATTCGAAAACCTGGCTGCAGATCAAGAGAAGCGAAATTGTGTGGATGGCCATGTATAATTGCATATTGACTAAATACACACGGCAAAAACTCGGCTCCTGCTGTGTGGTAAGAACCACACTGACTTTCTGGAGTGGCTGTGGACTATGGGATATGAATTTGTAGTTGATACCCTATCTTTGGGAATTTTGGCTCTAGGATTAGTACTTTTTCCTAAATGGCAACACCACTTCCTCCTTAAAACGGCGTCATCGATCAACGTGAATACGCAAACTCCCTAGAAAGCCAAACTGAACACATGCCATTGACCTCGCGACATGAGAGAAGCGTACCTCAAGATCAATGGCCCCTGGCCTTGGCAAAATGATGACAAGCCATTAATTTGCGTTGGCGCGGTGTGAGAGACGGAGAGAGACTCGCCATCAACACTCTCAGAACAAAAGGATGGTTGCATTGGACACGTGGTACTGGCGCGAAATGGCGCCAAATACACCAGTAGAAAACACCACTTTGGCAGTGCAAACTTCGATGGCATTTTTGACACCAATTGATGCCATCACAGCAAATTTTACATCATCGCAAAGCCCCTATATGGCCACATGATATCAAAATGGCATCGCAGTTGGCATCGCAAAAGTGCCATTTTCTGCTGGTGATGTACGTCTAAGAGAGCACGATTTGGTCCTGTATTGACACGGCTTAAACCTAAACTACACAATTCCCCTCTTTGTGTGGGCTGGCAGCATCGTGTGATTGGCATCTAATGTCGATTCGTGTAGCATTTAGGGCTGTAGATGCATGCACCAACGTGAGGGCCGGGTGCCACTATGAGGGATTGGGGAATGGATGCAGCGTGCCCCGACCACAGGATTGTGGGGTCCCTTGCTACGTCGGTGGCAAGTAAAAAGGCAAGCTTGTTTGAGGGAGGGATGCTCTTTGAGGATCAACGTCTTGAGCTCGCTCCCCAAGGAAGGGGACCCTCTTTGACCAATGTGTCGATAGTCCTTTGTGCGAAAGTATCCAGGCACATTGCACCTGTTTGGGTGCGTCCACCACTTGTCGTCTCCCGCCGCTTG